GGCCGGTCCGTAAGAAGCACGCAAGGGCGCACAAGGTGGGCGGGGCCGATCGCACGGGGCACGCTAGGGCGTGCTGGCTAGGCGGGGCCGATCGCGAGAGGCGCGCTAGGGCGCGCGATAGTGAGAGAGAGAGAGGAGGGCGCTCGAGGGCGCAACTAGGCAAGGCGCGCTAGGGCGCGACTATGCGAAAACGGTGGGCCCTTATCGATTCGGTCCTAGGTTACGACCTAGGCTCGCGATACCATGTTAGAAACTAAGAACGAACGAGAATGAATGAACTAGCAGAAAGTTGGGTACAAGTAGGAAACCCTAAGTTTGTTGTACCCCCTAAGGCTAAACCCACTATAGCCTACACAATGTAAACATATAATGTTTGACAGTATCGGTTGCAACTGTCCTGCTGGTCGCCGTCGTGACGACTTCATGAGCTGGCAGGTGGGACACGATGCCACGTGTCGCTGCACGTCGGTCAGCATCTCGGGCCAGTAATAATATCGCTGCAGCTGCTGCCGTGTTTTTTCTACTCCGAAATTAGTGCCGGCTTTTACGTAATACACCCCTTTTGCTGCTGCGAACTGCTGCGAATTTCCTCCGGTGAAGAACGGGTCTGTTTGGTAGCCGTGGGTAAATAGTCGAGCGCCGGTGAGTTTCCTCCGGTGAGCAGTGGGCTGGTCTGGGCTAGTAGTATGGCGTGGATTTGGGCAGTGGGGCGGGTCAGTTCGTCGGCGATGTTCGATGCCCCCTTTTTGTAGGTGACCGTGTAGTGAAAAATCGACTCGAGGAAGTCGAGCCAACGAACCTGTCGTGGGTTGAGGTGGGGCTGTGCACGGAGATACTGTAGTGATTTGTGGTCTGTCGGTACTGTCACGTCTGCGCCGGTTAAGTATCAGCGCCATACCTTGAAAGCGTGCACGATCGCGAGCATTTCGCGGTCGTGTATTGGGTAAACTTTCTCGGGCGGATGCAGTTTTCGTGACTCGTATGCGATGGGCTGTAGGCCATTGCCGAAATTCTGTAGCATTACGGCTCCGATGGCGATGTCGCTTGCGTCTGTAACTACTTCGAATGGGCGGTGTGGGTCGGCAATGCGCAGGACGGGCGGTGAACAGAGAACAGCTTTTAGGGCAGAGAAGGCAGCATGCTCTTTCTCCCCCCACGTAAAAGCGACCCCCTTCCGCAGCAAATCCGTCAGTGGGGCAGTTAACCGTGCCATGTCGGGGACGAACCGACGAACATAATTAACGAACCCTAAAAAACTCTGCAGCTCCGTGATATTTGTCGGGGGGTGCCACGCTTTTACCGTGTCCAGCTTCTTGGGGTCGATTTCAACCCCAGCCTCTGAAATAGCGTGCCCAAAAAAATCTAACCTATCCTGGAAGAACTCGCACTTGGAACCCTTGGTCAGTAGTCTGTGCTCGTCTAAAACTCTAAACACTGCTTCCAGATCTGCTAAGTGCTGCTGCTTGTCGCGGCTGTAGACTAGGATGTCTTCGAGGTAAACTATCACGCATTTATCAAAAAGTGGCCTAAACGCCTCGTTCATGGTCATCTGAAAAGTTGCCGGTGCGTTGGTCAGCCCGAATGGCATTCTGTATACTCGAAAGACCCATACCGAGTTCTAAATGCCGTCTTGGCGCAGTCTGACGGTTCGACCCTAATCTGATGGTAACCCCCTCGTAAGTCAGTTTTCGAAAAGACTCGTGCTGTTCACAGTTGATCTATCGGTTCGTCGGCGCGGGGGATGGGATATCCCGACTTGACTGTTACCCGGTTCAGTGCGCGGTAATCGATGCACATGCGAAATCCTCCGTCTTTTTCGGTGTGAACAGTATCGGTGCGGCGAACGGTGACGAGCTCGGTCGGATGAATTTTTTCTCCAACATGTAATCTAACTGCTTCCTCAGTTCGTCGAGCTCGGGCTGTGTCAGTCTGAACTGTCGCTGTACGGTTGGCTGTGCCCCCGGTTCTAGTTCTATGCGGTGGTCGTGTGCTCGCTGAGGTGGCAGCCCCTCCGGCAAATCGTCCGGAAAAATCCCCAGGTACCGTTTCAGTAGTTCCTGTAGTTCGGCCGGTACGGCTGCTAGCAGTTTCTGAAAATCACTCGGCTGTTCTGCTTCTCCTACCAATGCGATGTCCACCGCGTACACGTCAGCTCCAGCGGCGACGACCCGTTTCATTGTGATGGCGTTGACGTGGACCGTCGAAGACTCGGGTGACCGCCAGCGAGGTAGTTCGACCCAATTACCACTACTTTGCACAGTGCAGCTACCCGTCGTCCAGTCAATTCGCGGGTTGTAGCGTCGCAGCCAATCACGCCCCAGTAAAATGTTGTGCCCATCCAGCGTCGTCGCGAGCATTTCCTGTGTAAACCCGAAATTCCCCCCGCAACGAACTTTCACCCTCTCCACTTTCTCCCGTATGGCCAGTGGCGTGCCGTCCACTAAACGTGCATCGATCTCCGTTAAACAGCGACTAAGTGTCAGTTGTAGTTTTCGTGCGGTGGCGGTATTAACTAAGCTATGACTTGCTCCTCCGTCTACAAAAATCTTCACTGCTGTCCCCTGTATTTTCCCGTAAATCAGTATTGGGCAGTCCGTCGTTGTACCCTCCATATTCATCCGAGCCCGATCGATGGCGTGAATCGGTACTGTGACTCGGTGAGGGTTGGTGAGGTTGGGCGAGCAGGTTGTCTCGTCAGTAGTTGGCCCGTTTTCTACTGACTGCTGGCGTTTCCCTGGCTCTGCGACTCCCTCCCCTGCTCTGTTCCGCGGCGTCTCAGCTCCTCTGGACATTCGCTCTTGCGATGGCCCGGCCTATTGCAAGCAAAGCAGCGCCCCTTAAAAGGTGCAGCAGCTGCATTCGCCGCAACGGCGTGTACGGTGGCGTGCTCGGTCGACCCCCGAGGGCGATGTCCGTAATAGGACCCCGGTCTCGGACGGCGCAAAATGTCGATTTTCTCGGCGAGCGCGAGGATTTCGTTGAAATTCGAGCCCGCGTAGCTTGATTTCGTGCGAGATGTCCGGCTTCAGCCCTCCGACGTAACGGTCAACCCGCTCCACCTCGTGCATATAGCCGACTTGCTCGCATAGTGCGAGAAAAACGCTCGAATAATCTTGGACCGACCCAAGTTGTCGCCAAGTACGCAGTTTCTGACGCGCTGAAATAGAAGCTACGATCGGCTCGAAGCGCGCCCGAAGCCCTGCGCACCACGCATCCCACGTGCTGTACTGGGCGGTTTCGCAAAATGAACTCCAGGTGACGGCCGGACCCGTGGGCCCTTCTTCTTGCGACGGCGGCTCGTAGGCGCGTGGCGACGTCACAATGACTCGCCACCAGTCTATGGCGGGGCCCCGTAGCAGCGAAACGGCGTATCGAATCTTCGCTGCGTCCGATTCGACGTAATTCGCGTCGAAGAAGACGTTAATCGTGAAGACCCGCGATTGAACCGTCGGACCTCCACGTTGGCTGGGATCGAAGCAGGGCGGGCGTTGCGGCTTGAGCGGCATCGGTGCGACGATGTTGTCGTTACAGCTTGTTGCTGCAAATTCGACATGACGACGGGCTTCGCGAGGCCCACTCATGCTTGGTGCGGCCCTGTTTCTCTCCATGCCGGGCCATCACTGGCTGCTCCTGAGCGCTGTCCCACACTATCGTGATGTGACGGTGTGCCGGATGAGATAACAATCGGCTCATCCGATTGCGCAGGTGCATTTGCAGGTGCTTGTGTTGATGCTGGTGCATTCACCGTTGATTGCTGGCGGGCGGAGTCACGTTCCGCCGTGAGAGTTGCGATTTTAAGCGCCGAATCTTCGAGTTGGCACACGAGACGGTCGAGCTGTTCCTGCGTCAATGTCGCAAGGTTGAGTTCGGCCATGGCGGGGGTGTCGGGCAAGCTCAGCGAGAGCCTCAGTCGTGGCCGTGCGTGCTTTCGAGAGAGTGTCAGAATCCCAGTCACTAGACCACTGGGATAAAAGGGCTTGTTAAGTAGCGGGTCAGTGCGCCCATAACCCCCCAGGACAACGAGCCTGTAACCCTTCCCTAGGATCAATCGGGGATCACCAGTGGACCTCTGACACCCCCCCGCACTGGGATGCCCGAAGTGCACACACTGGGATTCGAACCCGAGACCTTCCCTCTGATACCATGTCAGAATCCCAGTCACTAGACCACTGGGATAAAAGGGCTTGTTAAGTAGCGGGTCAGTGCGCCCATAACCCCCCAGGACAACGAGCCTGTAACCCTTCCCTAGGATCAATCGGGGATCACCAGTGGACCTCTGACAAAGAGCACTTCGAGCGGCGGTGCCTGAACGCTGAGGGACGTCTACCCCCCAAAAAAATGAGATAGTGGGGAAGCGAAGGTGTGGGTGCGGTCCGAGAAGAGATAGTAGGTTCTGAATACCAAGTGTTACGAGTGCAATTGAGCGAGCGAGCGAGAATTGCACTATCGAAGCAAACAATACATTGAGCGAAGGCATGAGCGCCGAGGTTGGGAAATGTCGAGGCGGAGGTCCGGAGCGCGGGTTACCAACCGAACCGTGAGGTTGGGTCGCATCGTGAACAGTGGCGGGAGTCGTGGTCGAGGCGAGTGTCGCGAGCGGGTAACGTTTCACTGTTGGGTGCTGGTGGCGGGAATGGTCATGTACGCGGTAAGCAGGGGCGCGAAGTAAGGAAAAGGAATTTTCCTTACAGTTTCACAGAAATGTTTTTTGCTCCGCAAGTACAAATGAACGTACATGCAGTCTGTGAAAAAAATATATGGCGTTAAGATTATTAAGTCACGCTATAAGTATTAGCATTCTGAGTACATCTTTAGCTCCTAATAAGGCATAAGCACCACCACTGGTGCTACACTGAAGCAGTAAAACTCAATTTATTGCTGGGCCTGCTGCTATGATGCCCAGAATGAATGGAATCCCATACTTGCAGTAGCTCATGGGCTTCCCAGCGTGTAATTACCCACGCCTCTGCTGTCTCCGCAGCGCGAGTCTTCGCAACAGCTTAGCACACAGGCACCGGGATCATCATGTTGACGGCGCCGCGGATGAACCTCCCCCTCAGCGCGCCCCACTTGTACCTCTCCGTAGTGAGCGACGCAAAGAAGCTTCGCGGGCTCAGATCAATCTGGCGAATCAGGTCGTAGTACGAAAGCGTGGAACCCGGAGGATATTTGTTGCTAGCGTCCAAAATCCACGTGCGCAGAAGAACCTCGCCATGGGTCGGATTCGCCTGCCATCTGCCCGTCACGCCGAACACGGGGAGACCCAGCGCACCGCCGGAGCGCGAGTCGTAGACGGTGATGTTGTTGGGCGGCAGTGCGCCGGTGAGATAGTCGGCGTCGAGCTTGAGTTTCAGATTGATCCGGCCTTGCATCCTGCGGGACGAAAACGGGCGGGAGAGACGCACCAAGGGGTAGGGGGGGGGGACGTGGATACGAGGTTGATACGGAAACAGAAGAAAGCTCCTCAAAATCATGAGCACGCGGGTGTAAGCGGGGGATAATGCGGTATAATCTCGAGGCATTATAAGGACACCTTCAGCGCAAACCGAGCGGATGTGCGAAAACTCACTGGTACACGGTAATGCGGAGATTGCCGTTCGCTCTGATATCACCGAGCGGATGGTACTGCAAAATCTTGTTGGGCTTCATACCCGATACAAGGACACCTGCATCATGAATCGAGTGGGCGGGAAACGAAAGACGTGCGAGGGACATGATTAACTGCACCAGCAGGTGCAATGCTCCGTCAATCATGCGTGTGAAAGTGCGAGTTTATGATCCGGTGAATACTCGCAAAGGCGCGCTGCCGAAAGTCATGAAACTCTGGCTGTCTGCTGACAGGTGAATTAGACTCTCAACGCGGGGGAGTGCGGGCAACGTGGGCACAGTAGGCGACGTACATTTTTGGACTCCTGGGAAGGGGATGAACGCCGAGATTCCACTTCCTCCAAAACCTTGCGCTTGTGACGCGACGACGAACGAGAGGAGAAGGAGAAAGCCTGGTGGAAACGGCCAATCAAATTACGAAGTAGAATTGGCGGAACAACGAAAGATGAGAAGGTGAACGTTAGCGTAACAAGGGAGGTGCATGCAGAGTGAGGCGTCGGGTATATTGAAATCAAATCTGGAAATGGGATGCGGGAAATCATAAAGAGAAAGGAGGACCAGGCTGAGGCTGGAGTTGGTCGAAGAGCAATACCAGGGAGGCACAGATCTTGTAGACGAGCCATCGTTAGAAGAGACCACTTATTGTTCGGCTTTGAGGCGGATCACTCCAGCAGCTATCTTTCAAGAGTGTGTGCTGGAAATCTAACAAACATATGTTGCACTAGACAAGCCGCTCAGGCACTAAATAGGAGAGTAAATGTAAATGGATTTCGGTTCGTGATGTAAAAGCAATGTCGGGTGAGGGAGGGTGTTCCTCGGCGCCGCCAGCTGTGAAGGCTTTCACCCCAAAAAACGGTCGCAAATTTCGCGATGGATATTTGGGGGGAAACATCGAGTCCCCGACCGATTCGCACTTTGCGGACAAATCAAAGATATCGCGTGGGTACGGCGAGGCACATTAGGGCTATCACACACGCCAGCTTGCCTCGGACGTGGCGAAAAGATAGGGAGGGGAGGCGCGCGAACCCCTTGTTTGATTTCGTTCGCATTGTCGGTTGGGAGAATGATGCTTCACTTTCATTGGATGCGAAAAGGACGAATGTGGACATGCCTACGGATAACGGGTATCGGGCACGCGAAGATCCAGTAACGGAGCGTTACGCTTCGCAAAAGTACAACGGGAAAAGCTTTGCACAGTGGGTTGTGTTAGGCCCCTTGGCCTAAATCCGCTAAAGAATAGCAGGGTCGACTAAGTCGAGGATGAAAACGCGGCGGAAGACTTTGGCGAAAGAACTATTGGCGAAAGATGCGAAGAAGTTACTGAGTAATTGAAGAGTTGAATGAGAATTGGTTGATAATGGCAAGTACAAGCAAGGTTTAATTAGCATGCAAGAGCGATTGTTGGAAAGTAGTTTGTGGGACAAGGAATTGTAAAGCAAGAAGACTAGAGTGCCACGTGGCACAAGGAAATCAAGGAAATCCCAAAGGGATTGGATGGAGATAAGCTTGGGATTGGGTTGGGGGACTGTTTAGGGTAAAACACCCTTGAACAGTAAAGTACCCCGTAACAATTGTGTCAAACTTATATGCTATAGCTTGTGTAGGCTGTAGTGGGGTAGCCCATATGGGGTACAACCCAATTAGGGTTTCCTACTTGTACCCACCTGCTTGCTAGTTCAATCATTCATTCCTGTTCATTCTTGTAACATGGTATCAGAGCGGTCTCGGGTTCGAATCCGCACATGCAGGCCGTTGCCGCTGTGCTCAGTCCTGGGCCTCCCAGTGTGGGGGGGTGTCAGTAGAGCTGCACTGTGAGATCCCCGATTGATCCTATGGGGGTTACAGGCATCTTAGCCTGAGGGGTTATGGGCGCACTGACCCGCACGGACTCTAAGGACGGTACCTCGCTGTTTGACCTCACTTCTGGCGCCTCGCCCGCCCCTGCCGCCACAGCTGACAGTGCGACCCGCTCACAGTGGCTTACCCGTAACGCTACTGCTCGCCTAGCCGTTCGCAACCACCTGCCGTTAGCCGAACGCGCCCACTTTGGCCAGCATAAGACAGCGAAAGCACTGTACGACGCTGTAGTCGCTCGTTACTCCTCCCCGGCCACTGCTGCTCTAGGCCGCCTTCTCCTGCCCTACCTGTTCCCAGAGCTGTCCACCTTTGCCACAGTAGCCGACCTAGTCACTCACCTCCGCACTAGTGACACTCGCTACCGTGCTGCGCTCCCCGCCGAGTTTCTCACCAAGAACCCCCCCCCCATGTACATCACGCTCTACTTCATAGTCACCCGCCTCCCAGACTCTCTCACTGCAGTCAGGGACCTCCTCCTAGCACTTGACCCCACCAACCTCGCTGTCGACCTGCTCGAGAAGCACCTCCTTGCAGCTGAGACTAGCATAGTCGCTGTAGGCGCTTCTCGTGGCACTCCTCGCACCCCCTTCTTTGAGGGGTGTTCGCCCTCCCCCCTTCTCTCCTCAGTCGCCTCTGCTGCAGCTGTTGACTACCTTCGTGCTGAGGAGGTAGGAGCTGCGTCTGCCCCTAGTGGGAGGCGCCGCAGCGGCAGGGGAGGCAGGGGAGGTAGGGGCGGTGGGGGCGGCAGAGGTGGCGGCGGTGGTGGGGGCGGTGGAGGCGGTGGAGGGGGCGGCGGTGGCGGAGGGAGTGGTGGTGGGGGTGGAGGTGCAGGTGGTGGCGGCGGTGGCGGCAGTGGCGGTAGTGGGGGCGGCAGTGGTGGCGGCAGTGGGAGTGGAGGCGGTGGCAGTGGTGGCGGCCGGGGTGGTACCAGTCAGAGGGGAGGCCTTGGAGGTGGCCAAAGGCAGCAGCAGCGTTAGCCCCTTTCGTCTCGGGAGCTCCGTGAGTGGTTTACTCAGCGTGGGGCGGCTGGGGGTAGTGGTTCCTGCCCGTATGTCATTCGCACAGGTGACCGCACTGGTCAGACATGCGGGAGGCCTCACACTCAGCGCCGCTGCTTCTACCGCCTTACCGACGCCTTTCGTGCAGAGTTTCCTGATGCACCTGAGCTCCCCGACTGGGCGGAGCTGCTTAGGCAGAATGTTGATATCTTTGGTCTAGACTTTGATGCTATCCTATTTGCCATGTATGCATTGACTGTTAGTGCTGAGGGTGACTGTTACCTGTGTGTGCCGCCCGACCCAGGTATAGAGTCTACTGCTCTAGGTGCTGGTGAGGCTGCTGCTCTAGGTGCTAGTGAGTCTGCTGCTCCAGGTGCTGGTGAGTCTGCTCTCTCTGGTACTGCGCCTGCTGAGGCCTTGCACACCTTCACACTTGACTCAGGTGCTTCCCGCTCCTTCTTTCGCGACAGCACCACACTCACGCCGCTCAGTCGGCCAGTTGCAGTCTCCCTGGCGGACCCCTCTGGGGGACCCGTCCTTGCGCACTCCTCCACGGTCCTGCCGTGTCCGGCTGTTCCGTCTGGCTCACTGTCGGGTCTCCACCTCCCCTCGTTCTCTACGAACTTGGTGAGTGGAGCTGACCTCCAGGATGAGTGGGTTGACCAGTTCACCCCTGGAGGTCAGCGTGTGACCCACTGTACGTGCTCCCGGACTGGTCGGCACCTTGCCAAGTTCACCCGAGCGCCTGGCTCGAGTCTGTACACACTGAATACTGTGTCCCCTCAGGTAGCTGCGTCTGCGTCTGCTTTTGCGTCAGGTCGGCTAGCGGCCCCCTGCTCGTGTCGCGCTTTGTCGCACCAGACCGTCCTTTGGCACCACCGTCTTGGTCACCCCTCGGTGCAGCGCCTCCGTGGCATGCACCGACGTGTCCTTGTCTCTGGTCTTCCCAGGGTTCTCCCTCCTCTCCCACCCTCGCCTGCTCCTCCCTGTCTTCCCTGTGTCAAGGGGCGGCAGCGCGCCGCTCCTCACTCCTCCTCGTTTCCCCCGACGACTGCTCCCCTGCAGACCCTACACATGGACGTGTGGGGCCCAGCCCGCGTTCGTGGACAGGACCGCGAGCGGTACTTTTTGCTGGTCGTTGACGACTACACGCGTTACACCACGGTCTTCCCCTTGCGCACCAAGGGTGAGGTCCCTGATGTTTTGATCCCTTGGATCCGCGCTGCCCGTCTCCAGCTCCGCGAGCGGTTCGGGACGGACTTTCCCGTCCTGCGTCTGCACTCTGACAGAGGTGGTGATTTTGCCTCTGACTTTCTGCGGTACTTTTGTCATGGGAAGGGCATTCGCCATACGTTCACGCTCCCGGCCTCACTGCAGCAGAATGGGATTGCTGAGCGCCACATTGGCTTAGTCATGGAGGTCGCTCGTACCTCCATGATCCATGCGGCTGCCCCCCATTTTCTGTGGCCGTTTGCGGTCCGATACGCTGCGCATCAGCTCAACCTCTGGCCCCGTGTCTCCTTGCCGGAGACCTCGCCCACACTGCGTTGGACGGGGAAGGTTGGCGATGCGTCAGTGTTTCGGGTCTGGGGTTCTCGTGCCTTTGTCCGCGATACTACCGCGGACAAGCTCTCCGGCCGTGCTATTCCCTGCGTCTTCCTTGGCTTTGTCCCTGACGCGCCTGGCTGGCAGTTTTACCACCCCACCTCGCGCCGTGTCTTCCCCTCTCAGGACGTCACGTTCGACGAGTCGGTTACCTTTTACCGTCTCTTCCCCTACCGCACTGCCTCTCTCCCCCCCCCGCCGCTCTTCTTTGCACCAGGTCCTCCTCCGGTAGATCCCCTTCCCCCTCAGGGTCCTGCTCCCTCAGGTGTGTCTCAGGTAGACGCTGTCGAGCCTGTCGAGGTAGCGGTTGACTCTGGTGCTGCTTCTGGGGGTGGTGCTGCTGGGGGTGCTGAGCCTGAGCGTGCTGAGCCTGGGGGTGCTGAGCCTGAGCGTGTGGAGCCTGGGGGTGCTGAGCCTGAGCGTGTGGAGCCTGGGGTTGCTGAGTCTGGGGGTGCTGAGCCTGGGGGTGCTGAGCCTGAGGGTGCGGAGCCTGGGGGTGCTGAGCCTGGAGGTGCTGAGCCTGAGGGTACTGAGCCTGCGGTTGCTGAGACTGGGGGTGCTGAGTCTACTGGAGTTCCTGCAAGTGCCTCGTCGCGGCGGGAGCCTCTCTCTCCACCGCAGCTGCGCGAGTGGTTTTGCTCGCCGCTGGAGACTTCAGCGAGGTGCTGCTGGTGCTGGCGCTGCTGGGGGTGCTGCTGGTGCTGGGGCTACTGGAGGTGCTGCTGCTGGAGGTACTGGAGGTGCTGGAGCCGCTGGTCCCGGAGGTGCTCGTACTGGAGGTACTGGAGCTACTGGGGCTGGTGGTGCTGCAGGAGTTGGAGCTGGAGGCGCTGGGGCTGTTACTGCTGGAGGTGCTGCTGGAGCTGGAGCTGCTGGAGGTGCTAGAGCTGGTGGTGCTGCGGGAGTTGGAGCTGGAGACCCTGGAGCTGCGAGTACTGGTGCTGTCTCTGCTGTTTCTGGAGGAGTTGCGCGGCCGCGGCCGTACTACGTTCCGCTCCTTCAGCAGGTTCTTGGCCTCCCGCCTTCTACTGGTCCTACTCCTCCCTTACTGAGTCCACCGCCTGACCAGTCGCAGTCGCAGTTACAGCCAGCCTCTCCGCTGCCTGGTCCTTCTCCTTACTCTGGGCCGACTAGAGGTCTTACGGAGCGTCGTGAGCCTCAGT